AAGGATAGATGAATCGTAGCTAGCAACAGAGTCCTCCTCTTCTTGATACATCTTCATACTAATGTCAATGTTCACATTGAAACTAGAACTCAGTACCTTTAGTTTCAAAAATCCAATATGTTATGTACTGAGTTACAAAGTTCAGATGGATACTATTGGGCATTATGTTTATATCATTATTATTACAGACTTATTCTATAGTTGGCTATATCTAGACAATTAACAGAAGATCCACATGTATCAGCAAAGGTTAATCATAATTCAATCCATCATATCAACAATCAGATCAATTAAATCATTACTGATAACACGAAAATATTTACAGTCAATTGTGTAAACTCTAAAAAAGTAATGAATAAACTATTCTGTAATATAAACTGAATTTAAAATAAAACATAACGTTTACTTATATGACCCATGAATAGCTACTTCAGAAGAAAAATGACATTTTTATTTAGGTTACTTAAATTCGTCTGTAAAGTAGTACAATAACATTACTTAATGAATTCACATAATTCACTTGTATACATTACCTTTTGACAAGAATATTATTAAAGTGCATAGTATAACTGAGAACAATACTATGTTCTGTAACTTCTATATTTATAGTGAAACAAATTTCATTTTGTGCGAAAATGAATAGTAGCTAGCAGTGGAATCCAGTTTGACTCGCATTTCGTCCTATTTAGTACTCATCAGCTGGATGTACCTGCATCTCAGATATAATGTTTACTCTGGGACTTGAACTCAGTACCATTCGCTTCAAACGCCATCGCGTTATCCACTTAGCTACTGAGTCCTGATAGTTATTTACTTGTGTAATAGAGTGAAGTTTAATTCATTTGGTACTGTTTGTTTGAATCTTCTCATTGATGTTTAGGACTGCATATAAAGATTCCATATAATGCTTGTGAATTAAGACTATATCGAAGCAATACTCAAAGTATACACATATGCCAATAAGAAACTGATCAATTGCAGTTCTAACATCAATGGAGAGATTCAAATAAACAACACCAAGTGAAAAGTTCATTTTGGTTTTATAAGGTTTAATGGGAAACAATTAGAGGTTTGACAACTGAATATTTAATTAACTGTGATTATTCAAAAAACACAGATACTGAGTTTAAAATTATGTTTTATAATTCACCGCAATCGATTACCGCTTGAGATCATGAACTGATCAACGTTCGACCACCATTGGAAACCTAATAGTACTGGAAGGCGTTTTCTTCCTGGCAAGGGATTCCTCAGCAATGCGCATCCACGAACCCTCGTGTGGGAGTCGAACCCAGGAGTTTCGGCTTCGAACACGGATGCCTAACGTCTAGACAACTGAGCCGGTATCTCTTTCGAATCTAGCCACCATTAAGCACACGATAATTATCAGTTTGTGATTGTGGAAATTGTTGGGTTTCATTTGAAATCATGAACTGATCAATATTAGACCATCATTGCAACTCTTTAAAATAGTAGAAGCTTAGAGTATCCATGAGATAATGCACAAACTTTAGATACCAAAGGTATTTGTTCTATCTTTGTCAATAACTTGGTCTTAACGTATTGTTATTGTTTTCATTCTTTAGACTTAAAGTATTATGTTTGAAAATATCCAACCATTCTTTGATTATTTGTCATGTCTCATCGATTTTCTCACTTATTATTGTCCCACTTGTAAACATATGTCAATAAGATTTTGAGACTTTTAAAACTAAACCTTAATCATAATGGAGAGTTAATAAGAAACGAGTAAGACGTTTAAACTAATGTAGAGTATTGTCTATGGAACGTAAATGACCAGTTTTCATGTCGAAAACACTATTAGATACTTAAGACTAAGATTAAAAATAGAATATAAGCTTTATCAGTAATACGTAGATTTTCAGATTGTAACATATATACACAAGTTACGAAGACTAACTTCAGTAATAAGCTATAATGCAAAATCTTCAACCTTATTCTTAACTATAGTCAGCACTTTAAATCTTAATCCTAACCCCAACTCTAATTCATAAACTGCATCTTAATTCTATGTTCTAACCTTAGATACTAAATTCTGATCATAAAGAGATTGAGGAACTGGCTATTGTTTATCTGTAGTTCGAATTAAGTACTAATTTCAATCATGATAAATGCGTCATAAAAAACTGTTCTCTGTACTGGCTGTAGTGAAATTATTATCATTTATTTCAACCAAAAAATTATAACACTTGTAATTAGTCATTATATCTAACAAAGTTCACTTTAACAAACTTTGATCCTACAACAATTGTATAGATTGAGATCATGAACTGATTGATATTAGACCACCATTGGACCCTCGCGAGCATGATCTTGGATGCGTAACGCTGAGGAGTTCCATAATAGGACAAAACGGCCGTTCAATGCTTCCATGTTATCAATGGTGGTCTAACATTAATCGGTTTATGATCTCAATCAAAAACTTAATAATCTCCAAAACCCCTATACTGATAACAATGGTATAGTTAGCTTGACTTGAATTAAATTTTTATATGGATAAAACATGGGATTCAACCAGCCTAACAGGTCAATCAAAAAACACGTGAAATTTAACGAAATCCTCATAACAACTCCAAATATGATTACAGAATTCACGTCAGTTTACAATCGTAATCAAGTTGATACAAAGAGTGAAGTAATGTTGAACTCATTAGTGTATCTTATTTGAGAAGACATGATTCATAATTTATTTTGACTTAACATTTCTGACAGAGTTGCTAATAATATGAAGTATAAGATGGAAAGAAAATGAGTGTTATCAGATGTACCGTAATTCTAAGTACAGTATTTTTGTCGGAATATATATATATATATATATATATATATATATATATATATATATCAGCTGTCATATCCTAGCGAAGAATATAATGAATGATAACTGCTAGGAATTATTTATGGACTGTTATAACGTATATTCTTATTGAATAACTACTGAGTAACTACGCTCTATGTATATTCATAGTCCAGTTATTATAAGCTTTTATTAAGCCTATTGACTACTATTATACGATTTATTATTCTTAAGTTATTCCCAATCTATTAGTAACAATATCTGACAATCACAACCACTTCTGGCTTAACTTTTGTATAATTTTTATTTTTTTTTTTGTTTTATGGTATGATGCGGTCTGACTCGTTTGTATGTAAACTGCGTGTCTGAAATATGTGATTGATTGATACAGTGGAAGCTGATATCGGTTTTCTGGACTCAACAGGCAGGCCTAAACGAGAAGGATCAATAAGGACTCTAGGCGGCTAATACCGGTCAATACGTCATTGGTTTGGCACAGTGCTAAAATCTTATAAGTTGTGTTCTAATTGAAAATCTTATTATGTGACAGTTAACGGTCCACAAGTCATAACAGCAACCTACGAAATTAAAAAACCTGTGGCTTCTCCGCCATCGACATATTTATTGTGAAGCAGATCTTTTGGTTCTTCGGTGTTATTTTATTTTGATCTTTGTTAACAGTATAATTAAATTTTAATTACACTGTTAATCAAACCCTTATTTCTTAATATAATTTTCGTTTGAAATACACTTTAGTATAGATTGAAATCAATTACAAAACTTTGGGAATTCATAGACAAGGTTAACAGTTTGTAAATCTTTAATACGTAATCAAATCCACTAGCGCATTCGGTATATTCAAACAGCTTAACCGGAACCCAAGTTTAATTAGTCAGCGATAGGTGTCTCCGAAACATCGCTCGTATATTCTGGGACCATCGGGTGAGTAACGCAGTTGTTAGGAAACGGGTACGAGGTAAGGATGGCAAATCAATTGATGAAGTAGTGAAACTTAATCAGTTGAGATGGCTGGGACACGTGTTACGTATGCCCGACCAACGACTGTCCCGACGTGCGATGTTTTATGGTGTTGGAAGAAAGCTAGGGGCGGCTAGACTAAAACATGACACATATCCATGAAGTCACTGACAAGTGGACTGAGCCATGTTGGTAGGTGTATACTATCTGGTTGGGGTCCGCGAGATGATAGCAAGCGATGGTTAGAAACCTTGAACGACATGGCTCAAAATCGTTTGCAATGGCGCAGGTGCATCCACTCTTTGTGTTCTCTCAAATTCTAATCTTCTGAATTTTTCATGTCCCTTTTTTTCTCTTTCCAAACTTATTTCACTGTATAATACTCCTTAAATAACATCTTCAAACCCTAATCTTCCCGATTACTGCTTATACTTTTACTACCTCTACCACTACAGTATTTGAATCGACAACTGCATCTGTGCTAATGTGTTATGGTAACTCGAACTGATGTACGTACGTACATACGAAGTTCTACGTTGTTACTGACTGACTAACAGTCAGAGATATTGCATAAAATTCAAACATTACCGCCAGTAATATACTTTTCTTACTCTTGACAAGAATGAATTTCACAAGAGACTCTTAATAATTAGTTTTGTTATCTATCTATTTATTTTCATGCCATGATCTGAGAATCATGATGACGAAGGTCTAAATGTCTTCAAGTACTTGTACGAGCCAAGATGATCTTTTATTCAGTGTATCGGAAATGATCCATTTCGAATGGAATTTTCATTAGAAGTAAGCTTTTATTGTATGATAGCAAAATAGATTCAATCTAGTCGATCCTTGGAGATTTAATCACCAAATAAAGTGTATCTCGTACAAAGCTCTTCATATCGTGGATACCAGCTGATCAAGTCAGTCAATTGTAAACAATGTAGAACCGGCTACATATGTGGATTGATTCAGATTGTTATACTACATTAGCATGAAATTATCAAAACAAATGCCAGAAATAGTAAGTATCAGCAACAGTAGAGAACCTTATACACAGAAAATATGATTTAAAAAGTATGAATCTGTGGGATAAAAGCTGTAAGATAAGTCCCCATATGAAGATCTAAGGAAAGATAGAGAATGGATGCATCTGAGCCATTGCGACCGATTTTGAGCCATGTTATCCAACGTCTTCAATTAACAGTAACGATAACTGCATGAATCATAATCAAGTAGCTTGCATCTATCAACAAGGCTTAGATTAACAGTTGATGACTTCATGGATTGATACGACGTCCAGATTATACAGTGATCAGGGATACGTAATACATACCTCAACCATTTCAGCCAAAGAAGACTCACTGTCTTACCAAGTCATTTGTCATTTTTATTAAGTACTCTCTGTTTAAATTCAGAAATACTCATTAGCTGATATTACATTTTTGAAACCTGCACAAAATAAATTCAAGTTACGATCTTGATCCTGATCGGTGGGAAAATCAAAATTCATTAAACTATTTGAAATGAACTAAAAGATTATATTTCATTAAAATAAAAACATATTGACCACAAATTAATTACAATCCAAGTAAAAACCACAATGTAACTTGAGCTGATAACATGAACAAAAAATAAGCTTCTCTATTCAAATAACAAACTATGGGTCACGTATACATAAATATTCGAGTGGAAACTACCCCTTGTAAAACTGAAAAAAAATAAAATAAAATTTATAAAAAAAAACTACATTTTTTCCAAGGAAACTGTCTTTTTATTTCAAATTCTATAACAGTATTTGGCTGTAAAACATTAAGAAACTATGAACTATACACATGTACCCTGTACTTGTGGGTAGACAGGTAGTGATTGGTGTTGGAATTAAGACAAACTATTCTTTTTTTTTTTTTGGTTGTTAAAATATTATTGCTATTATCATTGTTTTCGACTTTGTTTACTTATTATTATTGACGAACAGATTGGTAAAGTATCAAAAAGAATCATCGTTTCAATATGTTGTTGATTTGAATTTCGGTTGTGGACTATGCCTCGATTGTTCAGTGCGAATAAATAAAACTGAGTGCGTGCGTGTGTGTTGTTTTTTCGAAAAAAAATATACAAAATGTAATCTATGAAGAAATAAGAAGAGAATGAAGATAGAAGACAAATAAAGAAGTATAAGGCAAAAACAGTTATATTCATCATAAGAATATTTATCTATGAATCAATAGACTAATGATCTAGCAAGCGTCATAATCAGTAGATCATAGTTAAACATCTATAGTGATTATTCAAAAAGAAATAATGTATCTAAAACGTCTTATGAAGTGAACAAACTTTATTATTATCATAATTATTAGGCATACAACCATTGAAATATTGTAATATAGTTGTTAAAGAAGCATTTGTTTCACCTGGATGATCTAATGTAGGCGGTTGTATTGAACTAGCTAATGGCCAAGCAATTGTTTTCTCATTGATCAATAATTTCACACGAAATTTATCCAGATCATTATTAGAATCTTTTCGAGGAAAACAAACAACAACAACAATTAAAATGAAATCGAATCAACTATTGATTTACTATTTAGTGGAAATTATAAGTTAGTTATTAGTAATAGTTTGCATATATAGTAGTATGTGACAGTTCAATTGATTGATTCATACATCTTTGACTAAACTATGATAAGGAATTTTGATCTAGATCATGACTTTACTCATTTAATTATTATTTAAATAAATATATTTATGTATTAAGCCGAAGAGAATGAATTAACAGGATATAATGACTGGATAGTAAATCAAGTATAGCCATTAATAAGTAGTAGTATATAAAAAAACCTGTTTCGATTATACAAATCAACTGATTAATCACTCAATTAGGACCAATAGTGTTGTTATATCTTAGTGAAGATTAACTTACAGGTAATTCCCGAGGACTATTAATGGACTAATATTCTATAAATATTCTTATTGTATAACTATTCAGTAGTTGGATTATGTATATTTATATTCCTCTTATTATAAGCTTCCATTTGACCTATAATTTATTATTATACGATTTACTGTTCCTAAATTATGCTCAGTTTATTAACTACTGTCTCCCACGTTCACAGCCACTTCTTGGCTTTATTGTGCATAAATGTTATTTCTTATTTTATGGTGCGTTGCGGTCTGTTTGCTTGATATATAAACCCAATATGTTTGAAATATATGATTCGATTTGATTCAGATAGTGGAAGCTGGCATTGGTGTTCTGGACTCAAGTGGACGGGCTATATATATATATATATATATATATATATATATATATATATATATATATATATATATATATATATATATATATATATTTATATATATATATATATATATATATATATATATATATATATATATAATATACGAATACTAATTATATTTCACTAAAAATGATTCGTTGACACTGGAAATACTAAATAACGAGTAATATATCACAAATACTTTTGATTAATATGATTAGTAAAAGAAAAGTTGTTAAGTGAATAGCAAGTTGTCTCATGATTACACATACGGACTGGATGTTTAAAATTGGTAATACAATTTATTCCGAGTTCATTATGTAACTGGGTTCGAACCACACTTTTGTTCAATTAGACTACTATACTACTTAGACTGAAGTAGATTGGTTAGGGTTTAAGACCTGGAACGAATGTGTAGAGGAAACGAACAAGAGGGTGGATTTCATTCCAACCGTAATCTAAGTCGAAATATAAGAAATATAGTTCAAAAGAAGCAAACGAAATTGAAGAATGAGAAGTCAGAAATAAAGCTGAACTTGAACATCTGTATGATGATAGACAATGAATGTGAGTGTGGCTAATTTTCAAACCATACTACTCAACGTTTCCAACCAACTACGCTTGTAGTAGTAGTAGTTGATAACTCCATAGATTGGCTACCCTTAGAATGTGTTGTCTTCCAACTCACTCTTGCGACAGCGATCATTGTACGTTGATATAGGCGTTAGTTAGACTGTGAAGCTGGGTGACACGCGATCGAATCCGCCAGGGAGCACCAGTTCCCTCAAAGATTACAGGTACACCTTGCTGACGAGTGCCGAGTAGCACGAAACCCGGGTCCAGGATTTCCTGTCGACTACCTTCAACCACCATCTAATATCGCCACATCACTCGGCCTGGTACCTTTAATTAGTACTCTAAGCCAAACCAATATTACTAACTTGGTGGTTGCAGTAAATGCGAGTAATGGTTTAAAGATACATGCTATCAATACTTGCGGTCTATTCACGCCTATACTTTTAAACTCAATAAACTGAAGTATTATGAAATGCTACTGAAAACGAAAAAATAATTGCTCATACATCAGAAATATTAATAAAAAATACAAAATTGAGAAAAGCCAACAACCACTTCAACACACCTAAATCAGGACAGTAATATAATAGAAAAGCCACATTGCCAGCAAATGGTGCTATATAACTTGTACGAAACATTGTAGGCGATGGAACATCTGTATCATAGATCATTCTTAATCTTTCATCAAAGCTATCTGCTGTTAATTTGTGTAAAGTCGAATGACCAATCGAGTTATTGAATATACCTAAAGCAGCGACAATAGGTAGAATAGTTTCTGCATGCCCGAACCAAAAACTTCCACGATGTAATGTTGGATTATTTCTACACAAATTACGAAATGTAAAATAAGGAATAGATAGATAGATGGATTAAGTAGAAATGTTTTCATGATAAGAGACATAAAAGTAAACACGATATAAACACACTAAAAAGGTATGGGTCTCCACTACCTGTACTCCACCCCCAAATAAATTGATTCAAGATAGTAATCTTAACAATGTCAACCCAACTCATTGATCCAGCACTATTTCGTGTTTATCGTTTACTAACACTGATCATACGACAATTATTATTACTACTACTCTATTTCGGGATAGAACAAAGGTTCAATGACGAACGACCTTGAGGGTTTTACTTATTTTAGCCAGTCAGAAAACAGTATTATATATATATATATATATATATATATATATATATATATATATATATATATATATGGTTAGAGATGTTTAGCTGCTATAGTTTAAGGTTAGGACTGGGCACTAATCATAAAATCCACATTCCAACCTTAAATAGTAAATCTAATCCCAAATTGCAAACTTTAAATCCTAATCTTCAAGCCTCAATTTTAACTTTAATATCTGACGTTGTTTTATTAATCAAAACTAACCATATTATAGTTGGCACTGAACATCATTCTGTGATAAGTCCCATATTAGATTAGTATATGTCACATGATATTGTTGGTTCCCATTAATTCGGTGGCATACTTTACGTTTATCTTCTATATTCATCTTGTTAATTTCATTTTATAATGTCGATGTGTTGTGGCAACTTAAACTGATGTATATTTGTGCCAGTTTCTACGTTTTTATGACTGACAACTTTATGTACTTTAAAATGAGTCATGATTTTCTATAAAGACTAATGATATCCTATCCAGATGCTTAAATCAAAACAGATGGAGTAGAAATCAGAGTAGGTTAAAAAATGATTTGAACCTATCGTTTGAAAATCAAAAGTTAAAACCATTAGCAAACATTTTTCTGGACAACAGTGTACTACCGTTCTTTCTTGCAAAAGATTAAACAACAACGAAACCTTGTAATCATTCTACTTAATGTCAATAAACAATTCTTCATATGATATGGTATTTGTATAATTTGTGGATGGCGAAATAGATATACTAAAGAACGCATTACGAAATAATGGCTATCCGGATAATTTTGTTAGAAAATACCTTGTAGAAAGTACTAAAAAAAGAAATTGTGACACAGTAAAAAAAAACCTTATATTTGAGACTAGACTTTAAAGAGGACGTAGCGGGTGATATTTTAACACGTCGACTCAATAGATCTATCGAAAGGACGTTTCACGCCGCCAAGCTACACATAATTTTCTCAACTAAACCAGTACTCATACAACTAATCAAGGATAGGTTAGCGAAGATGGGCTCTTCCATGTGTGTATATCAATTCAACTGCTCCTGTGGAGCTAGTTACATAGGCCGTACTCAGAGGGCTTTATTTTTGCGTGTTCGTGAACATGTACCAGCATGGTTGGGAAAAGGAGTTACTAAATCGATTAACAGCACTATTCTTTCTCATTTGGTAGATAGTGAACATCAAATCAAAATAGAGGAAGCTTTCTCTATTTTATATCAAGATCCAAAGTATCTATCTCAAGGAGCTAGATTACGATTGCTCTACACAGCCGAAGCCATCTGGATCAACTCCAGAAAACCAAACTCATGTTTCCAGAAAAGGTATATCCAACCTCTATGTTTACCTTGGCCCACGACTGGATCACCGGATACCTAAACTGAATATTATAAACATCTTACCCCCCCTTTTTTTATTACCTCTATGTTAATCTTTACATCCATAACCCCAAATTCGTTTATTGTAATTACCTTGATAACACCCCCTTAATGCATATTATATTCACACAACAATATTATTATTATTATCTCAATTGACAAGATGAAATTCTCCTACTATGCATTTTATTCATACAAGTTTTTTGCATTTTCATTATTGCTATGATACTACTCTACTGATTATAACTGGACACTTTACTCCAAATCATTCTGACCTTTATTGAATGACCTTACTGATTTGCAAATAACACAATTTTGAAGTATGTATAGCGTAATAGATGCAAATATTTACCATTTTTAACACATAACATTGTCAAATTCATTAATACATGCCTTATTTTTGGCCTTTGTTAAATATCACAATAATTATGGACTTATAACTGTAGAGCCTGATGATGATGAAGTTATTGTAAAAACAATTATTCCCTCAAATATTCTTCATTTTTGAATATTTTATGGGGATTTTTAAACTGCTGAAATTCTTCATATGATAATCACTTAAATGGTATTTGTGTAATTTGTTCAACTCATTAAGACAATGGTGACGGTGGCGCAACTTCGTGGATTGGTTGAAGTTAGACATTAACACCGTTGGATGCCGGCTCAGTGGTCTAGTTGGCTAAGCGCCTTGCGCGAGACTGATAGGTTCTGGGTTCGAATCCCGCGGGGGGCGGGATCGTGGGTGCGCACTGCTGAGGAGTCCCATACTAGGACGAAACGGCCGTCCAGTACTTCCAGGTTTTCCATGGTGGTCTAGCTTCAATTGATTCATGATTCCAACTATTGAAATTACTAATTCTCCACAAAACCTCTTCTAGCAACTCATCAAAATCAGTGTTTTTCGAACCATCTCAAGCATTAAATAACTATGATTATCATCATCATATTCAGATGTATACTGTTTGGTTTTAGAATTGCTTACAGTGTTTTAACCAAATGTATTTTACTGTAAAGAAACAGAAATCTTGTGATCATATAGAGAATTCGATTAGATGTGACATTAATGTGTTGCATATGCGTCTACGTTGTACCATTGTCCCAATAATATAATCTAGTACTAAAGAAGTTATTCATATGTCTGAACAATGTAGTTTAGCTTGTATGTACTTATATACAAACACGTCAACAATAAAAATAAAGAAGGAACGAATTGAGGTCCTCAACGAGTATCTGAAGTATAGCGCAAGGTTCAGTGAGGCGATGAGCTCAATTCGTTCCTTCTTTATTTACCAAATGTCAAAATAGGAATTTTCAACAATAAAAATGTTCGTCAACACATGAGTGACATCTTTATATAATAAAACATACTGACTATAGTTGTTTTTCTGAAAATTTATAGCTACATTATAAATTTGTTGTATTATTTCACCAAGTAAAGGACATGATTGTTCATAATTCAATTCATAACCGTACGATTTACGCCAATAATGCTGAAATACAAAAAAGTATATGATTTAACTATCGAAAGGAGAAATGTTACAAGTGAAAGAAGACACTGAAAAACAAATTGAAAAGTTCGATAGTTCTATTAGTAAATATAACAACCAACATTTACGATATACATATTGTTATATCTAAAGCTTAGATTCTTAATATACCGCGCATAACTTGAGCACTCGACGCTAAAACACTACTTAGTCGCAAACGAGAGAACAGAAGACAAGTGAAAGGAATGTTATTCCACACAGCGTCAATTATGGTACAAAACTGTCAGGTATTTATACTTTTTAGTAAAAACGAAATCATCGCTATAGTCCTCCAATCTTTATACAGGGGCTTATTAGCATTTATCCAATAGGGAAGATCCATGTAGGGATTCTGGAATATTCTTCCAAAAGATGATTGGATGGAATATCTTCGGCACTTTCTGAGCTTCTTAGGGCTTCCTCGAGTTCACCCGTTGACTGTCCTCACACATTTACACTAAGTGATATCAAGTTTAATTTTACAGAACACTTAAGGAATAATAAACAAAAACTCAGATTATAATTATGAATCAATAACAAGTGAATAGAACCGTTTCACACTAATCGCCATTAAGAAAATATTTCATCCCAGTTCCGGATTCCTCAAATGCCCTGGTACCGCCGAGAGTGGGGAGAGTCTACTCTCCCTCTCGAAGTACTCTCACATGGCCATGCATATATAGCCTCTGCCAGGGAAGTCCTACTCACTGCCTTCTCGTGGCCCGGGTGTTGTTTACGAAAATGAGAGGACGAAAAGCGAATTTCCGGCGCTTTAACCGGATCCCAAACCAATGGTGCACATGGGCTCCAGTATCCTGCGAGAACAAATGGCGTATGAACCAGTCGTTGGTCACCGGCTACCATGGGACTGTATCTCCTTACGATGCTCCACTGCCTTGTGGGTCAGACGTTCAGGTCGAAGGCTCGGGGTGTGGCCCCCTAAGACAACCACCACCTGCTTCGGTTTGGGCACCCGGGCAGTATCACAGCCCTCACACAAATCAAATGAGATTCGTGTGGCGCATATGTATTTGGTGCCTCCTTGTACCAATACCTATGTGTTAAAATAAATAAAATAAAAGGATTCCTCAGTAATGCACACCCTATTACTTTCATAGGGATCTGAGCCCATAGCTGCTGTCCATTGTGCTACGATATATCAGAATTTAACAATTTTTAATTGAAATCAACTAACATGATCAACGTAGATTTGTTCGTAATTGGATTCTTAGTCATCATCAACATAGAGGCTGGCAAAAAATGTGCATTAGCCCAAGTTCCCATATAGAATTTGCACGATGAATAACACAAGAATTGAGATAATGAGGAAAACTAAAGATTGAGAATACAATTCTAAGATACAGAATGAAAAGTTATGTATAAAAGAATACTGGAACCCAAGATCTAAAGTAATATAGAGTTGGGTTTCATTGTAACAATCCCAATTATTATAAGTTACAGACGTCAGTTTAGATCCAAAACTAGAATAGTTAATTTCACATACATTAAAAAGAATCTATTTTGTATTGGTTATTTAAATCTTCCCATTGATGTTTAGGACTGCGACTGATCAGTTTTTTATTGACATATGTGCATCTTATGCAGATTGCCTCGATATTGCCTTGAGTCACAAGTATTATAAGAGACTGGTCAACTGAAGTCCTCCACATCAATGTGAAGATTCAAATAACCAATACAAAAATGAATTGAACTTTACCCCATTGCACAAACTAGTGGCTATCTGAATTCACTAGCTAAGTGGATAACTCGATGGCGATTGAAGTGAACGGTACTAAGTGGACATTAACTCTTGTATGCAAGTACATCCAGCTGATAGGTCCCAAATAAGACGAAATGCGTACCGTGGATTCCACTGCTAGCCACCGTCGATCTCTGCCTCTTTAAAGAAATTTTGTTGATGGGCAATGGCAAGTCCAAAAACGATCTTCAATCTTTAATTTTAAGTTGACTACAGTTTTATTCACAAATCACTTCTTTTGGATGTTATACTAAAAGTTTTAGACATAATAAAATAAGGGGAAACATTGGAAACAAATGATCGATAGATATTTATATTTAAAATGGGATTACCTTTAAATCTGCTAAATACTCCCATACTGGATAATCATAAGGTGTTAATAGACTGCACCAAGGTGATAGATCGTCATAATCATCCATTGCAGCAACTTCATACGCACAAGCCAAAAATATTATTTTTAAATCATCTATGAACAGAATGTAGAATTTTAGAACAGAAAAAAGTGAAAACCATGATGGCGTAACTTATTTGCAGAACAAAGGTTTATGTTTCAGCCACATACACACACAGGCACTATTTATGTAAGTACTAGTGATGTATTTTGGTTGCTCAAAACGAAGAAAAAGGAAAGGGATTACAATGGACTCCGTAGTAACTGAAGATAGAGAGTTTTAACCACTAAGCCACTGGCTTTATACTCTTGCACTTAAATTTATAGCCTGTAGCGGTCATACAGGGTTACTGCTGGCCACAAACCCAGATAAAGGAGGAGGGTCGGGCATAGAGTTAGCAACCACATTCCGTAGGAAAAACCTTACTTTAAAAGAACGCTAACCAGAAGAAATCGTTCAAACTACTTAAAATATACCCTGAGAAGTGAGAAGCCTTTCATTTATAAGAGTTATGATGCCTCATGGTGAAAGCCAAATTTTTTTGGAAGTTACGACGCCGACACCCCTTCTAACAACCGTAGTAACAGTTTTTATGGGTACATGGGATATCTTGACAGTGTGGGAAACCGGGAGAACTAATCAAATAGCTACCGAAATAGGGAGATACAACTTGACCATCGTCAGAAATCTAATGGACCCAAGCTAAACAGAAAAGATTAGATTCGGAAGAGTTGTTGTTGCACTCTGATCACGAAGAAAATGCTCCGCCCACACAAGGAGTTGATCTGATGCAATTCAGAAGCACGGAAAGGAGGGAGTCACAATAAATGTTATCCAGTTTTATGCACCCACTAATGATAGCATTGACTACAATAAAGATCATTTTTACGAGAGGCTTCAATCGATCATAGAAGAGTGCTCAAGAAAAGACCTAACAATCTTGATGGGACACTTAAACGCCAAAGTTGAAATGGACAACACCGAGTATGAAGATATCATTGGATGACATTAACTGAGAGAAAGAAACGAGAATGGCAACAGATTTGCAAATTTGTGTGTATTCAAAGAAAAGTGCTTACAGGCAGCACAATATTCCCACACAAAGCTACACGGGTCCCCCCGGATCACATCACGGATAACCAGATAGATCAGACTTGTATCAATAAAAAAATCAGAAGGACAATGAAAGACGTGAGAACCACAACCTGGTGGTCGCCAAGATGAAACATAAACTGAAGAAACACTGGACAGCTCGAGAAATAGCATTACAAAGGTTCAATACAGCTTTCCTTCCAGATACTCAGCGAATTCAAGAAAACTCTCAACAACAGGTTCTAGGCCTTGCAGGATATACGGGGAGAAGAATGAACTACTATGGAAGACGACTGGAAAAGGATCGAAAGAGCACTAACTTCAACGTGTCAGGAGGTTCTAGGCCGCAACAAGCTTCATCATAAAGAATGGATCTCTAGTGAAACCCTGCACAAGATTTAAGAAAGGAAGAACAAGAAGACAGCGATTAATGACAGCCGAACAAGAACAGAGAAGGCCAAGGCACAAACTGAATACACAGAAGTAAACAAACAAATGAAGAGGAGCATTAGAGCTGACAAGTAGAAATATGTGGAAGAGCTCGCAACGACAGCGAAAAAAGCTGCAAGGAAAGGAAATATGAAACAACTATATGGTACGACAAAGAAACTGGCAGGGAAATATGGTAAACGAGAGAGACCAGTCAAAGACAAAAAAGACAAGTCAAATATTAAGATTCAAGAACAGAGGAAAAGATGGATAGAACACTGAAGAATTCTGGAATAGGCTAGCTCCATTGAATCCTCCGGACATCGAAGCAGCACCTACAGACCTTTATATAGATGTCGCCCTACTAACTATTGAAGAAACCAACATGGCCAGTAGGTTCTGAAAACATACCAGCCGAAGCACTGAAATCAGACATAGAGGTAGCGCCGCAGATGCTCCACGTCTCATTCAGATAGATTTGGGAGGAAGAACAAATGCCAACAGACAGGAAAGAATAGTAACTCATCAAGATACCAAAAAAGATCTCAGTAAACTCGAGAGCTACAAAGGCATCACACTACTATCAGTACCAGGAAAAAAAGACACTACGGATTATTGTTGGACAACAAGTTGAACGGAACTCGTCACTACACGTCAGCTTCCTCGATAGAGAAAGTACTTTACCGCACGGATAGGATAACCTCATGGAACGCTCTTCGACACAATAGTGTACCTGAGAGGATCGTCAACACCGCTCGAGATTCATACGACGGACTACACTGCAAAGTCGTGCATGGAGGACAGCTCACAGATGCATTGCAAGTGAAGAGCGGTGTCAGAAAAGACTTATCACTTTTATTATTTTTTCCACATCTCAGGGGGAGCACGGAATACAATGGACAACTTGGATGCAACTTAACGATCTGGACTTCGCAGATGACCTGGCTCTTCTATCCCATACACACCAACAAATGCAGGTGAAGACAGCCAGTGTAGCAGCAGTGGGCCTCAACATATATACGGGAGGAAGCAAGATCCTAAAACATAGGACAGTTAACACCGACCCAGTCACATTTGATAGAGAGGTTCTGGTAGAGGTGGAAACATTTACGTGCCTGAGAAGCATCATCGTATAATTGTTAAATAACTAAACTATAAATATTCATATCCCTCTTAGTATAGGCTTTATTTTGAACTATAAACTATTATTATGCGATTGGCAGTTCTTGAGTTATGCTCAGTCTCTTACATTTACAGCCACTTTTGACTAGGTCTTGTAAAAATGTTATTTTTTTATTTTAAGGTACGACGTGGTCTGTTTTGTTTGTATATAAACCCAGTATGTTTGAAGTACATGATTCATATCGCAGAGGTTGGGATTGATGTTCTGAACATATTATTTATTTATTTATCTTCACACATAGATATTGGTACATGGAGGCACCAAATACATATGCGCCACACGAATCTCATTTGATTTGTGTGAGGGCTGTGATACTGCCCGGGTGCCCAAACCGAAGCAGGTGGTGGTTGTCTTAGGGGGCCACACCCCGAGCCTTCGACCTGAACGTCTGACCCACAAGGCAGTGGAGCATCGTAAGGAGATACAGTCCCATGGTAGCCGGTGACCAACGACTGGTTCATACGCCATTTGTTCTCGCAGGATACTGGAGCCCATGTGCACCATTGGTTTGGGATCCGGTTAAAGCGCCGGAAATTCGCTTTTCGTCCTCTCATTTTCGTAAACAACACCCGGGCCACGAGAAGGCAGTGAGTAGGACTTCCCTGGCAGAGGCTATATATGCATGGCCATGTGAGAGTATTTCGAGAGGGAGAGTAGACTCTCCCCACTCTCGGCCGTACCAGGGTGTTTGGGGGCGTTCTGAACTTAACAGGCAGGGCTAGGCAAGAAGAAAGATTGATAAAGACGCAAGAATGCTCGTACGGGTTTCATGCGTCATTGGTCCGGTCGATAAGTCACTGTTCTCTAATTGGCGGTATAATTATGTTATATATTAATAGAGCACAAGGCCATAAGTTATAACATATACTGTGTGACGAATAGGTTGTTAGAACTAACCTGGTCAATAACTTGTATTCATGAACATGTTTCTAATTAAAATGTTGTACAGGTTTAAATCGTTTAAAAAAAGAATTTCATTTACTTTCAGGTAGTTTATCTACCTAATTTATGGGTATATGTATGCAGTTATCAGTTTACTTTCCTTTTTTGAAACTAACTTGTTGAAATACTTTGTGCTGAGAATTCTGTATTGTACCAAAAATATAATATTGAATAAAGCCATTGATAATAATAATAATAATGGACTAACAGTAGCCATAATGCAGAAATGATCTGTACTCATGTGGATGAGTGATTTGCAACCAAAAATTCAAGAGGTATCATCTGATCAGTTCGTCCATAAAATATAGTGATAATAGGTTAAGGCTTATTTCAAGATTATGGGTTTACAATTAGAATTTAGATTTAGTGTCAATTTCCATGTAATATATACAATCTACAGAGATATGATGAAGCATTTGATGTGCGGAGTTTCCTGCTAACTACCTCCAACCATCATCTTATTTCAACATAGTACACGTAATATTGAATCACCTAGACTAGTGACCACCATTGTAATTTAATCGATAGGATTTGATCTAAACTAATAAGGATCTGATATACATAATATTAATCATTACCCAATGATCTATTAATTGTAAATAAACAATTAATTCATGATTATATCATAAAATAATCAATTGACTTACCAGATGTATAATCTTCACGTTTTAAATGAAATCGTTTGATAAAATTTTCATAAGAATTATTAATATAATTTGAATGAAGAAATTTATAATATTCTTGAATAGCTGATTTATTTTTTTCAATTTTTTCAATATAATTTTTACAATCAGAAAAAAATCTTAATAAATAATTATTAATTGTTATATTCTTTTTATAATGATCATCATTATTGATTATTGATAATTCATTATTGAGTAAACAACTATTTGGTACTTCTTCATTACCACAATATAATGTACGATTCCATATAGGTTTTATAATTGGTCCATTAATAAACTAATGAATGATAAATTTTCCAAATCCATATATATTAAACAAAATAAAAACCAAAAAAAAGAAGATATATGTATCTATTGTATGAAATAGAAAATAATAAACGAATAAATATTGTTCTATATGAGATTGATAAGTATCTGAACTTAGTAGCTAAGTGGATAATATGTGAGTTTTTTGAAGCAAAAAGGTATTGGTTACAAATTGAAAATTGAAAATCAACTTTGGTATGCGAGTACATCCAGTTGAAGAGTTTCAAATAGGATAAAATGTTTGTCATAGATTTAATTGCTAATCACATTTCATCTATTCTAATATAAACTTGATTGGTTAAAGTTATTCGTAACATTTTTAATGTTTATTAAATGTGTTATATCCAGTATTTTTAACCATTCCTCAGTGAATGAGTGTTAAATCCTGAAAACTAAAGATTTCACTCTAAGTATTTGAAATTGTACATAACTATTTGTTATGACAGTATCAGTGTAGTGTAGCCCAGTATAACAAATGAAAAAAACATAAATATCATTGAACTTATGGCCTGAAGCGATATGTCTAGTGAAAATTACGCCATAATGCACAATGCCAACTCACAAAAATGGACGTAAGTGCTAAATACAACATATGGAACATTGAAAATGTAGCAAATAATCTCAGCTATTAGATTATCATAATAATGGGGATTTATACAACTAATAACAAGAACATATTAACACTATGATGATATTAGTTGTTATGATAAAAAACATAATTACTGGATGATAACATAGACAAATGTTTCAACATACAAAGTATGTTAAAAGCTTATACAAAATTATTGAAGATAATCACTAAACGTTAAGTGTTAATGAGATGAACAGTATGAATAATAGACGTTTAAAAACTGAAATAGTAGTTGAAAATTAGTGAAATGATGTAATAATTCATTTCTGATTATTGAAAGAATAAAGATTTTATGAACATTTTCTGGTTACAAATACTAGACTTGTTGATCCTATTCGCTTTAAACTAAGTCACATGTAAAAGTTCATTGAAAAAATACGAGGGAATATGGTAAATGATCCCGAATGTTGTAATTCTATATTTACCACATGGTCACGTTAATGTTAGACTCCCATTGACGTTAAGCGTCCGTTCAAGACCAAAAGTCGTGTGCGGAATCGTGGATGTACGACAAAACGGGAGTCTACTGCCTCCAATTTTTCACTTGTAGTCTGACATTGATCGATTCATGATTTCTGACTATTGGAGTTAATGAAAAAATACAGTGATTACTCACACCGTTATAAAATGCTCTCCCGCTTGCAATACAACGATCAATGGAACTCGAGTAGAAATTAACATTTTCAATCGTAAAATTGAAGTGTTGTCGCATGAGATTAAAAAAACGTCTGCCTAAACCATCATGTTCTTGAAATCCTCTAGGTAAAAGTTCTTTTGGAGCAGCATTTTTAAAAGGTATTGGATGTGTTAGAAGTTTGTAAGGAATTGGTGATCCATTGTTATAACTAAAAGAATTACACATTTGCAAGAATATTAAAAGCTTTATTTTATCAACAACAAAAAAAGACAAGAAATGAATCTGATGTAATCACCTACTAAACTTATTTCAATGACAGTAAAAACGATAAATTTACAGCCTGAATATTAAAAGTGAACAGCTGAAGGTCATATATGATATGATCGCAGAACTAAATACAGTGGTTCTAGTGAATGAAAATATTAACTTGTTTCTTCATGTTAACAGTTCATGTGTAAAAGCTAAAGACTAAAATTTTGATATATATATATATATATATATATATATATATATATATATATATATATACTCAAATATTGAATAAATATTTGATTAATAAACAATTATTCCTTGTATTTACATTCATTGAACACTGAGTAGTAACCAATGTTGTGTTTGCCTAGTCTTTAGTGATGATTGAGTTCTATCTATCAGGTTGCGATATGACTACTAGTGCCTTGACTTTGGGTGCACTCGTTGATGCTAGATAGTCAGAAGCAATCAATAGAGAACTTTGGACCTGAACTTTTATGCTGGTTGGCACTCGTCAGCAAGGTGTACCCACAATGTCGAAAGAAATGATGCTCCCTGTAGGGTTTGAACCTATGTTTAGGGTATTCTGTCGACTGCCTTCAACTACCTAACATCAAAAAACAATGCATACGGTGCCGAGTCAGTCAGACTACTCACAGTGCTACAACTTCATTGATAGGATTTGATAGACATTAGACAAAAATGATATTGGTTACTATTCAGTGATCAATTAGTGTCAATCCCTTAAAAGGCCATCGTGAATCGATTGAAAATCTCAAAGTACTCAACTTTATATCAGCTTATAGATTTTGATTTGAAATAAAACTTTTAGTTTTCGAACTATAACATGGAGTTTTCATAGGTGTAACCAATCAAAAATAACATTATAGAAGCGGTTTAACCTTTAATCACATGTAATAAAAATATTCCATTTCCGTCTGCTTACAGGAAAGGTGTAGCCCTAGCTTTGAGGTTAGGTGACTCACTTGAAAATTGAATTCTAACCAGCTGTTACTTATGAACTGTTTGACCGAGTGATCACATCAAAGGTCAGAATAATAATAATTCACAAAGAAGGGTATTTGTCATTTTCATCTAAGTCCACTTGGGATGAAATCTAGTATGGATGAAACGATCGAAGGTACAAGTTTTTGGGGTTAAAGAGATCAGTATACTCGAAAAGAAGAATGGATCATGAAAAATTCTTAAGATTGTTCATCTAATCCTTATCAAGTGAACAAATAAGATTAATTGCCTCTTAAAGTCTCTTTCAAGCATTAATTTGATACTAAGTAGCACTGATTTCAAGCAACAAAAAAGACATTGACTTACTGGTTGCTAACACCAACTAATTAGTGGATATATATGTTATATTACCTAGACACCCGAGAAAGTCAATAAAAAGATTTAGTTTTCTAAAGCATTAGCTTAATCTATGATTATGTGTTTGTTCGAAGATGCTCAAGTATGCAACTGGGTACATACAAGAAAAATGTACCTGACAAGTTTTTTGAGGTTGAATTTGATGCAACTTAGAGTCATAGTCAGTCAATAAAGAATAACAGTTAATAACTGAGTGATGGCAAATGAACCTCTCAAACAGATTAAAACACAATATAAATCTGATGACGTCACTGGTAGTTGATTAAAATTATGTAAGCTTCTAGTTAGCCTCAAAATGGTTGAAGAGTGATAGTTTTAAATCGGTCGACAAGAATTTATCATCTTCCATCCAATGGTTAATTTCAGACACCTTACATCTAATTCTGATGTCTGTTTATAGCTTTCTATGTTGAATATGTTTCTCGTGTTTTCGCCTTCTTGTGTCATTAAAAGACGTATGATGGATAAAAGGTAACATTCCGCCTAGGATCCGTTATTTTATCAGTTCGTACCCGTTAGGCAAATTTATCTACGTACTAAGTGCTACTATTTCACTTCAGAAACTACACGACTTCACTGCTAGTCAGTTTAACAGAAGTATTTAATGTTACTGGTTGTTGATAACTTGCTATGCATTTCATCATTTTAAAAGCGGGAAGTAACCACTTTACAATGAAACAAATAAATACAATAGACTAACAGCATTTGGAATAAATATCTAGGTTTAGTTTTTATATCAATATAAATGGTATTACGGATAGTCTATCTCAGAACTTTTTGTGATGATCAAATTAGAATTGTAGTGACATGGGAAAATCCAAACACGAAAGAATACTTCAATCTTGTGACACATATTAGCGTTTAGACATTACCTTTTTTTAAGACGTTCGTGTAAATCTGTGAAAGATTTAATTGACTTGGAATCTGGTGCTCTAGTTCCATGTCTGAGTAATACATTAACATGCACCAATGAGCATCTTTTAAATTGAACAGATACTTTATCTTCATATGATTTCAAACCACAAAAGCGATATGCTGTTTTTGATGATAAGCCCGAAAAAAACGTTTCTGGTTCACGGTTGAAAATACAAAGTAAGAAAGTTGCAATTGCACAGAAGGCTGAAAACAGGGCCCCCATTTGCCAGAGGTCGACTTTTGAAATATCTATAAAATAGAAAGGAAAACACATTACCAGGAATACTACTAATGTATCATTTGTCTTGACGATATAAGTACATATGCAAACCTCATTTCACTGTTCAATAGTGTTTACAAACTGTAGAATTACTTTTTCCTCATCTTTACGAGATAATTTATTTTTGCAAAGTTTATTTCCAAGCTATAACATGAAATCTTGTAGCATAACATTGTAAATCTGGTTTGAACTAAATATCTGATACTATTTCTAGAAATTATTACCTCAGTGTAGTGAGAACTTACTGATATGAAGATATAGTATAGATGGCCAATAACTGGGTTATCATATTAACTTTGAGACAGGAGAAAAGTCAAGGTTCCTTGAGTATTTGCTTAAATAGAATATTTGAAAATCATGTGATATTTAAACCCTTTATTACAGTTTGAAACAGCTGGAGGGAAAAATGAAATCCTATTACTAATCTCAAAAAAAAATGGATGAACGTTTTATGGTAACACAGAGAAAAGGATAAAGCCTCCCAGTACTTCGTGTAGTAGCTTTAATCAAGTTGTACGAGCATCTGACTAATAAATATTTAGTCACACATTTAGGAAACACTATCTAATGTTGGTCAGGGAATCCACCTGAACATCCGGCTGGGAGTTTTGAACCCTTTGAAGTTTATTGTCAGATCAACTAGAAGCTAGTAATATATTCATGGCTAATCTCAAACACTGAAAAACGTAGACGGACCAGTTTAACTAATATAGTGTCTAAAATATTAGCCTCAATGACCACCCAATGCGTAACTATGGCTCGTGAAGAGCGAACTCTGGAAAACCAGGTTGGTGTCAGACTTGGATGTGTAGACCAGATATTAACACCACCAGATTTTCGAGACACATACCTACTGACTCCCAACAATAGTTTCATTTCTCCACCTTGAGAGAGCTTGATTTTATGAACCGATAGATTTTATTGAAGTGGTTATCGAACAAGTACATCAACCTTGTACAGGCTCTCTACTCGAACGCTACTGGTCGAGTGAGAGCTTATGTTAAACTGTCTTCGGAATCGATAACTCGTACTGGTTACCCCGTTCTCGTCTAAATTTGTCATAGACATACTTTGGAAATAATACTCTTCTAGTTTGAATAACAAAAAGTCGATTTGCTATCAGATTTTCTTGTTGACTTGAAACGCGTGGATGATATAGTTCTGTTTAGTGACGACGCTGACGAAATGTCGTCTTTTGAACGTCTTAAGCAACAATGCAAGGATGTTTGAGATGTGTTTATTTGCCCGTAAGTGAAAAGCTGTTTCAGGACTAGTTTTCATAAACGACTGAACCAAGAATAGGTATTGAAGTCATTAAGTGTATCGAATACTTCACTTATCTTGAAAGTGTTGTCGGCTCTAGTAGGCTGGTGTTTGATAAAATTTCGAAAAGAACTCAGTCCGGGTTGTTTTACCAACTTACATCACTTGTGGTGTGGGCTAGATATTCTTCTGTGGACTTAGGGACGACTTTACTGTGCAACAATTCGCTTCGCTCTTGATGACTGTGAAATATGGCCATTAAGAACATAGGATATCTGCAAGTCATTAGTATTCTATCATAGTCGTCTTTGAATCATTCTTTGTACATTAAGGCACCATCGAATTAACAATTCTGAGGTGACACAGAGTGTAAGGTAAGTATGGCGAGTTAATTGATGAGGTAGTGAACCACTATCGACTGACATGGTAGCTGGTGTAGGTGTATGTTGGACGGTTAGGGGTGACCAAATCAACACTAGCCCAGCAATTGTTTATGAAGACCGACTATCGAGTTGAGCTATATGCGTAGATGCAGAATATCTGGTTGTGGCTTGTGTGATTATCATAATCAGTGATAAGACTTAAAATCATTTTCCAGGTATATTCTCTCTTCACTTGGATCTAAAGTTTCGAAATTTCCGTAAATTTTATTGTATTTCACTAATCTATATTCTCTTGAATTATATCTATAATGCCTGATCTTTTCTGCTACTAATAGTGACATTAATACCATTGTTACTCTGGTATTTGCCCGGGGAATTTTATCTCACTCTGCTAAAGAGGTATGACAACCTGGACTGATGTACACGATTGCCAGGATCTAGACTGCGTTTGACGTACTGACTGAAGAAAGTAAAACGGCAATTTACTGACACTTGGCCTCAATTAGTTTGAGAAACCTATAAGAAGTCTTTTGTTAAACTTATTAGTCTCATATGTCGGTTGATTGTGAAGTGATGCATCTCATCATTTGTTTCGATAATACATGGGGGACGTTATCGAATATAAAATATAGAAAACTCAAAGGCGACAAGCTTATTCAATGTATAATAATCAAGCTCAACAAAGAGGTACTAAGGATGGAAAAATACGTCTATACATAAAGATTAGAACTGTAAACATTCACAAAGTTAGCTAGAGAAAATATAACTTCATTTTTCTATCCATCGGGATATACAAGTCAGATGGCCAGAGCGTGTTAAAAATCTGTCTGAAACACAACGCTTTCGATAGCGCTTAAGTAACTTATCCCAAAAACTACATATGTAAAAGTAATTAACACTATGACACTTAAGTGTTAGGATGTAATTTGGTTCACAAGGACAATGGGGTTCTTAAGGCGTTTGCGAATCACAACAACGAGTTGATGTAAATAGTACTACCAGATATAAACGAATGATGACAATATACTGACAAACTAAGTTTGTCAAATTTCTTTTTGAAATGTAGTACATTGTTATATCTAGCTTGTAAGCGTTGTTCCCTACTGAGACAAACAGGAGAAAGAAAGTTACGTCTTTCAAAAAGTAACCGTAGTTAAGTGAACATACTTTCGTAGACTCACAAGTTTGTGAAATGAACAACATCTTGACCTGGTACTTAAATTTTTCAAGGTCATAGTATGTCATTTGAAACAATTAAATGAAGATAAGAATTTTTAAAATATGTATATTCTCGTGTTCAGTGTAAGCACATTTATCTAAAAGCAAGCCACATCACTTTTTTGAACTCAGTCCGAAATGTTTAGCGATTTCGGGATTCCTCCATTTAAGCTGACCCTTATTACCACAGCCCAGGTGACCTCTTGTAGAGTCAAACCTTATTTTTTAGTGCACTTGTCGATTATGTGGAACGACTCGCTTTTATTCCCATTCGATCTTACTTTCATTGACAATATCATGTCATTCTGAGCCCTGATATCATCATTTTCCCTTCACAAGAATAGATGGCACTTAACCTGGGGGGACCATCTCCATTCGTATTGGCGAAGATTTTATTACATTTCCTATTTGGTTGATGAAGTGCGGCTGTAAAAATCTGAACATAATGCTTAATTGGAGAATCATTTTCGGAACCCTCTAGTGGTTCAGAGCAGATTTATGTTTCAGAAACACCCCCTACTCATAAAAGTCAAAGAATAAAGTTATTACCTAAAGACTTTTCGGTTTGTAATTTACATGTCCATGATACGAAAGAATCTAGACAGGTATGAATATATGATGTACTTATGAAGCGGAGGCTATAAAAGCAGTTCAAGGTGGTAAAGTAATTTCCCGTCTTTCTTGAATAAAAAGGGTGAAAAATCTTAGGTGGTTTTCGTCGTAGTTTATATTTGATCTGATATAATACACGTTAAAGTTTTGTATTTTTTTGGAAAGTATAGCCTGATCAGAAACAGCTGAATCGCTGAGAAGACTAAAGTTATTTTATGAAATTTTCCGAGTAATTCAGTGTTATTCAAGATAATTATAGTTATTCCAAACTCTCAAGGCAGAAATGTAGGAGCAATTTGAATTTTTTCCAAGAGCAGTGTCTATGGCAATAGTTTCATCCAGCCGTCCACACATTCTATATACTTAATAAGATGGCGGTAAAACTAAAGAAGTATTGGGATTTTGAACGGCATAATATAATGGTAGGTTTGTAGCGACCTACTTTTATCAACAGAACGTGATTGGTGTAATGGAAACAATTACTACTACAACCAATTGTACCACTGATTGTTTTATTGTACTTGTTTGTTTAATTGCATTAAAGACATTCTTTTCTTCCGTTGAATGTGACTTTGTACGAATTCGGTTGCGCTCAGTAAACTCACTTGTAATCTGGCACGATCTCGGTATACTTTTGATACCACGAGGTCGCTAGCAAATACATCTCGACTACAGCCATCATCTGGCTTCTGATATTGGCCTACGAGGATCTCATTGGTTACCTGGCACATAGTCTTCTTGTAGTGGTGATCATAGTCAAGCGCGACTTGACGCCACGGTACAGGTTCTTCATAGTTTCTTAAAGCGTCTGATCACATGTGCTAGGCGTTATCTTACGCTTAAAACCAGGAGTGACTCTTACTAAATTAGACACTTTCCTTGTAGGGATATAATGTACCATATGTTTTTCGCTGATGTGCCATTCCGAATTTTGAATCCACAAGATGTAAAATGCAGAACGTGTATCAAAGCCAACGTATGCTGTCTTACATAATATATGTACATTTACTGGTGAATTTCTATGATATTTTTACAAGCTTACATTAAAGATCTTACAAAAAGTCATCTGCTTTTCTGTCCATCCAACCATATACACATAGTGAAGTGCAGATCTCAAGTTGGATTGTAGTGCCATTGAACATTAACCACTTGAGATTTGAAACTGAACACATGATTACTGAAATGATTTATGTTTAACAATTTACGCGAAGAGGAGGTTAACAATGGAGAGCGCGGGAATATTCAATAAATCGGATGACATGGTTCATTCTGTACAAATTGATTTTACATTAGTTTGCATCTAGATCATAACCACTCATCGCAAATGGCCTTATATATGTCCAATCTACGGAATAATCGCGATTCATAAAATAAACCCCGGCGAGCTTAACTATTTCGACGATGATTTATTGTTTTTGTACCTAACATATATATTTTTCACTTAGACTAGGCGTATAAATATCATATGAACCACTGTCAAATCGTTTATGACATAAGTTATATTTAACAACTTTTGTATTACAACATACTACTTTGAAAGTGTTTTTTACAGACTCTTTAGGTTTCAAACGAAATTTTCTAACGAGAAATCGGTTTGAAAAGTAATTGATTTATCAGACTAAATATTTCGTGTAGCTATAGATAGATGAAGGCATCCAATATCAGTAAGTCAGTTGTTTAAATCCTCGTCACTCTAATAAGTCTTCAGTGGTATTGGACTCTAACCACACGAGATTTGAAGCTAAGCATATAATTACTGAAAAGCTTTATATTCAACAATTTACACGAAGAGAAGGTCAGCAATGGAGAAGGCGAAAAGATTTAATTAATTCAGTCGGATCGCATGGCTCAGGCTTGCAGACGTGGGCATTCTGTTTAACTTGTTTGTATTCACATAATATATGTTATCGTATCTTCGCTTTAAATGTGTTCTTCATAAGTACTGAGTATCGTATTGTTAATTGATACGATATAATGATACAGTGTAGAAAATGACGCTGAAATCAAGGTAAACAATATCTACTTATTTATCGACAATAAACGACAACGTTCATCTCTCCCTAAAATTCTCAATGGTCAGACCTAGCCGAAGGCTCTCAGTCACGAATTCGCGTCAGATCATGAAAAAATACGCTACGTAACACATCCCTTGTAACTGTTAGCCAGCTTTGACCAAACGCTTCTCTACATATGAATAGCCTTCCAAATATATCTTCGAGCTATTTCATTCCTGACTTCTGATTTGACTGGTTTGTTATGCGTTGGTCATAAGAGTACTACACGCAAAAGCGTCGTCACACTCCGAATACTTGTAGCATCTTTTCATGCATGATAATCGTTTCCTGAAATCGTTTTACCTGCTATCTAACAAGTTATTTGTTCACATAAAGGTTATAGCGGCGTTCTTGATGATACTTACCTATATTTTAGCTACGATGCTATTAAAGCTGACCTTTTTGCAGTTCTTCAGAAGTTTTCCTGCTTCTGCCTTATCCATTGAAGTGACGGTCGAATCCCAGCTGTTCATAGGTGACCGACTAAGACTGGGTGAACTAAATACAGTAGTGGTAGGAAACGAGCACAATGCAATTTGTCTCAAGATTTTAAAGTGTTGCTAATCACGGCGGGCCGATTTTTTCCGTAGCTTTTGTGGAAGATCGTTATGAGTAGCTAGTACGATAACATTATTTGTGGGTTTAGTTTTTGTCGAGAGGAGATTCGTGAATAAAATCTGTCCGGATGAAATCAGCAAGGCTTCTATTTTGTCTTCATAGCCTAAGATAAATCTCCTTAAAAACTGAAAATAAGACTCCATTAATGGAATTCTTTTGAGCAACCGACATTTGAGTACAATCGCTTAAGCTGCCTGAATACAGCTTTTGACTTGATTCTCATATTTCCGAGTTAATGAATCGATGTTTTTTGTCTCAGTTTGTTGAAAGACGTTTATAAGGATCCATGATTCTTGCCATAAAAAGTTGAAATTCGTAATACAGATGAAATTCTAAAAGGTAATCAGTTCTACACCAATACTTGACACAAACACGTTTTAAAGCTATCAGGTCGAAAGAATGTTTTCTTGGTATTTTATTATCACTCACCTAACTAAGAGAATCTTTTCGCTTGTCATTCATATATCTTTTAAATTTAAACTGTTTGTGTATTTCTTTTGTTTTACTGTTCCACATTCTAAAGGCCTGACTCAGTGGATTCCCCTAAGGTCGTGCGTGGTTTTCGTGCTGGCCTATGAGTGGCTTTTTTGCTTTGTATGAGTCCAAATGGATAGTAAACATCGAGAAGCTTGTGATGTTCAAATGACACTGGCTAAAAAAGGATTTACATTCTCGGCTGAAGAAATACAGGAAATCATGGATGTTCTTAGTGGAGTTTCTCTAAAACTTATCATAACTAATGTTCCTATTGAGGTTTTCAAGTATAATGTTGCACAGGTTTGCAGTCTGACGTTTCTTCATATATTTTTTTTCTAGGTATGCTTCGAGGACCTATTTAGGTCTTTTGACAGTCAGTCCAAATTCGTATACTTGCCGAGTTTCCAAAGAGTTCTAGTAAGTTAAAAACTTAGTATTTAGTCTGGGACCATAAATTAATTCTTTCTATTCAAGAAGCTTCCATGTAACGCAACTAAAGATAAGGACCGCTTACTGACAAATGATGATGTATCTTATTGACTATAAACTTTTTCCAATAGTTGCATGTCCATTGATGAGCTTGTAGTTAGACTGATTCGTAAATGATCAGCTAGTTTTACTACGATCATCCATTCGCTGCTTGTTAGTCATATACCTTAGAACAACAACGCAGGTGCGATAAAAGTTTCCTAACGTATATGTATTGCCCAGTAGAAACTATGGTACATATTGTAGTGGATACCGACGAATTTCGAATGATTGTTCAAGTATTATGTTGTAGCCTGTAATTTGTGGTGCAAATTCATGGTTACTTGAAGTTCACCTATGTCAAATTAAAGGTTTTGTAACCGCGTAATGTTTCTTATCGTAATAATATTAGATATTCTTACGTCTGTCTCGATCCTCGGTAATTCTGTGGTACGAAAATCCAGAATTTAAAGGGTCTACATTGCCCCAATATTGAAGAACCTATCCTAATCATCATCTGTCGTGGTTATGTGAGGGTTGATGTCTATTTCTACTATTACTGGAGCATGTTTTATTCATATTTAGAAACCGTTCATTCGTTAAAATATTCTACAAGGACTGAAGTATGGTGTGACCATGTTTTGAGTTTCAAGTCCTGGAATATAGAGGTTTATGTTTTTATTTGGCTTAGCGTGTAAAAATCAACATCAATGTGTTATTTGAAGCTCCATTTCATTAAAACTGAACTACCGTCTTGTTAGCTTGGTTTACTAACATTAACTACATTGTTGTGTAAATTAAGATGGACGGGTTATTAAATTTATTTTTTTTATTATTTATTTGAACACATAAACGTTGGTGTAAGGGAGCACCAAATACATATGCTCAACACAACAGTGAGGTCAGTAGTAGTTATCATTGATTAGTGTGAGGGCTGTGATACTGCTCAGGTGCCCAAAGCGAAGTAAGTGGTTTTCTAAGGGGGCCACACCCGGAGCCTTTGACCTGAAGGTGTATTCAATAGCGCAGTGGAGCGACGTCAGGAGATGCAGTTCCATGGTAGCTGGTGACCAATAATTGGTTCATTCGCCATTTGTTCCCTCAGGATACTGGAGCCCACGTGCACCATTTGTTTGGAGTCAGGGTTTTCCAACTCCCCTAGGTGGACTCTCTGTGTCCACCAATCCGGTTAAAGCGCCGGACATTCGATTTTCGTCCTCTCAATTCCGTGAACAACGGTAATGCCGCGAGAAGGCGGTGAGTAGGACTTCGTTGGCAGTGGTTGTATATGCGTGGCCATTTGAGAGAGAGAGCTGACTTTCTACCCTCGGCCTTACCAGGTGAGTTTCCGAGCATCTATCATTGCTGTAGACACCTGAAATCTACTTATTTCTCCTAACCTGTGGTTCCAAGTTACTGGTATATACCACTACTGTTTCAACAGTTTTTTGGATATCATTTTTACGATTAACTAGCTCCTTCTCTAGTTAGTCCTGAAATATACTCTTGACTTTTTCATCATTAAGTTAAACTCCAAAGGGTTTTCTTTTCTACGTTCAATAAGACACAGACAAGTACGTGCTGAAATTAGAGCACGATATGAGTCCAAGCATGTGCTCTAGAATGGTTTAGAAATCTTTAATCAATCCCGTCCAACGATGCTTATGACAATGTAATCTGGTTGAGTCCATCATCACGTCAGATGATGCTTCTCATGTTTGAAGCTGGCGTTTGAAAGGAATTGACGGTTATCTGGGCTTAGTTGCAGCAGACGGTCGCCATAATCTGTCCGCTGAGCCGCGACAACGTAAGATCCGCCTAGGTGCCTTTCGGTCTGGTTTAGTTTAGTCACTTGACCATTAAAATCACTCGCCACTATTACTAAATCAGAGTTTAGCTTTTTGGCGGAGGTCGGATAGCTTCTTATAATTTTCATTTTCAACTTCTTCCGAGCTGCAATTAGTGGGAGCGTAATCAGAGACAGCGACAAAGAAACGGCGTGTTACTATTTTTTCGAGTTCCCACTGTTCGGTTTAGTCGAACTTGAGGCCGGTCGCGCAAGGCCTTTACATGGGAAGTTTTTGGTGTTAGCTCCGCTCTTCAGAAGGCCTTACCTCCGCAGACAGATCTTCGTGGCGTAAGTTGAGGTGTGATATTTTTAGGGTCGACTTATTTTAACCTTTTCCTTCCGTCGTGAGAAGCTAGCGTTGCTGCAGAGGCTGGTTGTCCGAGGAAAACAGCCTACTTTTGTCCTACCTCTCTACAGTCAGCAGTACGATTTCGCCCTCAGGCCTTGATTTGCTGCTTTTAGGCTTGCGTTCTCCGTCCAGTCTGTCTGGCATGTTGGGACCTAAAGGAACATATGCTTCAGCCAGTATAACTCGGTTGAGTCATCGCTATTGGGAAACCCGGCTACCACGTTAAGGTAACAACTACGGTCGGGGTTGGTTGTACATGAAGATCTTAGTTATTTATTTGTTAGTCACTTTATTGTTCAGTTCCTGTTAGCATGTTTTTCAGTGATGGTTTGCTTGCTGACTAACATGTGGCCTATAAAACTAAACAGCATAATTACATAATCCTTAATTCCAGATATCATCTCTTTGGAGTCATGTCTTAATAACAGTTAAAGCTCAAACTCAAATTTGTCAATGTTTTGATCATAAAATAAGCCTGGATTACTGTCATTATCGTGAATAATGCTTAATTCAGAGTTTTGGGGGTAAAATAAAAGCGTACATACAGAGTAAAAACTAAGTATCTGTTTATAAAATATCTACATATATCAAATCCTACATTCACTCCATGAGGTATTTCTGTAAGCAATCTGTTTGCTCATCTTCAATAGATTTACATGAACAGACCAGAAGCTGCGTTATTGGCACGTTTGGAGACCCAAGGATGGATGCTTCCTGAACATGTATATGCCAACATACCAAACAGTTCAGTAAATTCTAGTAGTGGTGGGATTAATTGTTATATCGGGAATTTCGAAGATAGTAACGATAAAAATCAAATTTGTGAAGAAGAGGACTGCGATTACTGTGATAATCCAGAATGCATGGTTGATTCTGATGAATACTTTGGTGATGATCGAACGGAAGGTTGTAAAGAGAATACAGACTTCCAATCGACTTCACTCGCTAACAATGAACTGTTAAATCAAGATGGTGTAGAAGAAAATCCAGCTGAATTTATTGCATCACCCGTATCTCCTATTGTCAATAGTAGTCGAAATTTTAGAAGCCAGAAGGAAATGTCTCCAGATAGGACTACTTCTGAATTCAAAAATATAAGCAATACGTCTGGTGAAAAGAATATAGATGTACCACTTTCTTCAAATGAAGTTTGTAAACACGGTAAATTTAGGCGACGTAGTTTGGCTTGTTCAATGAAACATTTAGCTCCTCCAAAACCATGTCGATTATTCTTACTTTCTCCGCCTGCTTCACCTCCTGTTGGGTGGGAACCAAAACCAGAATGTGAACCTGTTATCAATTATGAACTTTTACATGCCTTAGCTTCATTAGCACCAGGTGAGTCTAATGTGTGCATTTACTCAAGTCACTTGGTGTATGAATATTTTGATAAGTTTTGGGCTGATTTTAGTAAGTAATGTATATGCAAATGAAATATTTTGTAATTGTAGCGTGGTCATTAGAACTGTTAAATTTATAACTTAGAGTGCCCTTGATTATCTGACAAATAGTTACTTTAGGGAGATACCAATATTTCCCTAAATAATTTGTTGCGGAATATTGAGGACTTCCCATTCTCTTGTTAAATGGTCCAAAATACTACTAGATATGTAACAGATGCAAAAGTGCACCAATTTTCTAACACATAACATTGTCAAATTTCATTAATACATGCCTTATTTTTGGCCTTTGTAAAATATCACAATAATTATGGACTTATAACTGTAGAGCCTGATGATGAAGTTATTGAAAACAATTGTTCGCTCAAATATTCTTTATTTTTGACTACTAGATATCTTATTTAGTTTCTAGCTTAGGATGGGAGTGGGAATAGGTAAAATGACTAAGTAATTTTGCGTTGCAACATGCAGGTTTGCTATAAAATATACTTGTAAATAAATAGTTTTCCGATTATTCTGAACAGATCTTCACGAAGTATCGTATATTGGCTAGTCCGACTTTTTGAAAATAAAAATATAAAGCATGACTGATAACATTTGTGCATAAGTTAGTCTAAAAACGTTGAAAAGACAAACTTGTAGTGGGCGTTTGTGTGTGAAACTGTTCTTAATTCGAAAAGAATGTTGGTCCACAACCATAAAATATTTTCGACAAAATCTACATCAAATACTTTCAAGAGATTGTAACATACTTTACTGATGATAAACTTGATAGGAAAGATTAGTTGACAATCCATGAACTCAAGCCTAAACTTTGCGTGCAGAAACTATTTGTCCAACCTCTCATCCTTCCTTGGCCCTAATTCCTTTGATGGGTATATTTCTGCTCGTTTTTCTGCACTTTTATTTGATTATTATTGATTGTTAATTGTTTAGCTTACTTCAAGGGATATGGAAAGAGTGTCATATTGGGCTATTGAAAAGGATCCTAAAAAGACACAATTAAATTATAAGTATTCCTGTATTGATTTTTTTAAGTTCTTTGTTATTTCTGTCATTATTAATGATATACAAATACTTATGTATCTGTAGGTGAGGCATTTGAATTGCACCCACGTGATCAAGCTAATCATCACCCAAGTATTGTGATAACACCATGTGAAACTGGTCTAACGTATGATAAAGATGTGAAAAAACTTCGAATAGTGCAAACTAAGTGCCCAGATCGCAAATGTTGATGAAGACTGTTATGTGTATACGAATATAATATTTAAGTCCAATGTTATGATGACCAAAAGAAAAATTACCTTTGGTGTCTTTCAGTTAATTATGTTCGAATGACTACGTGCACAATCATTTATAGTTGAATACTCATTCTATCCAGTTTCTCTGCCTGTGACTAAGCTCGTTGCAATTATATATATTGATGTGTGCAATTGACCGGTTGTTTCTACAGATTCTCACTTCATTTTTTTTTTCGCGTTTGTCGGATATCCGACTCTGAAGTGTTTTATTATTTCCCAATAATTAGAAACTATTCAACATGTAACGTCCTTACTAATTTCTTTACATGATAGATCTTGACACTATACTGTTTCCCCTACATTATATATGTGACTTTCATTTTCTTTTTTCCTGGATGAATGGGTTTTTTATGGGTATGTTGTATACTACTTCATTAACTCACATTAACTATTATGGTATTTAATCTTATTACCATTTGTGACAAGTTTCTTGTAATTTCTCGTTTGTTTACTTTTTTTTCAGTAATATAGTTTTACTTTCTTATCCGATGTATACATAATGTAGACCAGTCAATTGACTTCTCTCCAGTTGTTTTTTTCTCCAACTGCCATTATTATTTGAAATATTCTTTTCATATACACTTGTTCTGTTTGCGGTTGATGATAATGGCTAAAATGAAAAGATGTTACTAAGTAAATTAAACTGACTGTCATTGTTACCGTTATTATCAAAATTGCATTTCATTATTTTTCATTTTATCGATATATAAATGACCTTATTATTTAGAACAGAAAACTTTAAGATTGTATGAAGCAACTTATGTTATACGCATACTTTTGTGTTTCTGATTTCTTTTACTGTTAAATTAAAAAATGCGAAATCAAAAGTCAACATAAGGATTTATATATTAAAACTAATATAGTGTATTATATTTAGATATCGAACAAGAGCATCATAATAAAATATTTAACTCACTATCACCATTAAACTCGATTTCCAGTCAGTCATACTATCATGGGTTCCGACTACAACTTAACATTACATGCGTTATTAGATGGTTTCAGCTAGATTACCCATGAGCTATAACCCTGTCCTCCACTCTCTCATGGACTAGAATCGAGAACATGGTAACTTGGACTGTCGAAAATGGTACTTCTCATTAGTCGATAAATAAAAGTGATCAACATACCTTATTAATTGTAGATGGTATTATATTAGAAATTATTGAAAGCCCACAAACTTTTTCTACTTCTTATAGTTTATATGCTAAATAAGTATTTTCATATAATATGTATTGATAACCTTTTGAAATGCTTATTTATGCGTTTGTTATGAAAAACTATAGGATTATTATGTCATTTTTCTTTAGAATAAAACAAAGATAAATTCCTCCTCTGGTTGTAAAGCACTATTCAATGAAAATCCCATTCATTCTGATAAACTCATATGACCTAGTTTCAAGAATGCCGTGACCGCTATATTTTTATTTCAAAAATACTGACGTGACTTAGTAAAAAAAATTTTTAGTGGTCTCTTTTCTGCCGGAAAAAGTTGTTTCCTATTCGAGTATCAACCATGAAAGGGCTCCCAAATGCCCTGGTAAGGCAAAGAATGGGAAGAGTTAGCTCCCTTCGAAATGTTCTCACGTGGCCACACATATACAACCACTGCCAACGAAGTCCTACTCACCGCCTTCTCGCGGCATTACCGTTGTTCACGGAATTGAGAGGACGAAAATCGAATGTCCGGCGCTTTAACCGGATTGGTGGACACAGAGAGTCCACCTAGGGGAGTTGGAAAACCCTGACTCCAAACAAATGGTGCACGTGGGCTCCAGTATCCTGAGGGAACAAATGGCGAATGAACCAATTATTGGTCACCAGCTACCATGGAACTGCATCTCCTGACGTCGCTCCACTGCGCTATTGAATACACCTTCAGGTCAAAGGCTCCGGGTGTGGCCCCCTTAGAAAACCACTTACTTCGCTTTGGGCACCTGAGCAGTATCACAGCCCTCACACAAATCGAATGATTTATGTGCTGTCATGGGGTTTTTCTCTTTTGACTGTGTGGTCGAACATTTAACTTCGCTGTCGCTTTGATTGGCTCAAACTTTTTAACAACATAAATGCTATTAGATAACTACATCAACTAAAGTTATAGAAACTAGCTTATAAAATTTGGGATACAGCAATCTTACTCTGTTCAAAATATTTCCTGTTTGTGACAAGATTTCTGACACCTTTTCCATTGCTTAGACGTCTTCAGTGGTTTTAGTATTCAGACCTTATCTACCTGGTCGTATCATGTTTTTTTGTTTGTACACAACCACTTTGCGTTTCGAAGTCGAAACAAGTCTCAGGGGAATAATCATAGAAATCACGGTTGATAATTTACGTGATGAGTTTCGCACCAGATGCTTACAAACAATCAATAGTGAACTTGCTGGCGTATTTTGTAGTCCAACAGCCATCCATCGTCTTAATACAAATTCCTTTGGTTAGTTGAATAATTATATGTAACTTGACTAAGGTTGACTCAATATAATGTTAATTGAATAGTTATTTAGTTATATCCTCAATTGGCAAACTTAGTAGCTCAGTTTGCATATTGATTGGTCAGACTATGTACCTTTGTAATAGTCTTTTTGATACGAGCTGCTAAATAACATGAAGCATTTATTTTTTTGCTAATTAATATTAAGTGATGACATATTGCAAATAAGAGAACACTAGATATACAATGTCCCGGCCTATGAAATATTGTCCCTCCTTTATTGAAAAGACTAGTAATTTTTATTGTATTTGGCTAAAAACTAATAAGTAGTCAAGATGTGGTAGGAGGATAGCGAGAGTTGTTAGGGATCTTTGGACCTCAACGTTTTGTTAGTTGTCGTTCGTTAAAAGGTGTTGCTGGAATCTTGTGGGACTGATACTCCTTGTAGTATATGACCTACATCACCTAGTGTCATGGTCAGCATTCCAGGTTCACCTTGCTAACGAGTGCCGACTGGCATACAATCTAGGTTCAAGGTTTCCTACCAACTACCTTGTAGGGTCGAAATAGTACAGGCAATATCAAATCACCCGAACTAATAGCCATATTGCAAATCGATTGAATTCGTATAATATTAATGACGACATAAAATTGGTTACTGCTCAATGACCCATCATTATATATAATTAGTTCGTTGAAGCAATTCACTTTGGATGTACTTTACGGGAGTTTCGCTTCTCGTGTGTTAGTATAACTTCATTCTATAAATATCCTCGTCTAGCCTTACTGTACTGAGTGTTGTCGGACAAAACGTGTGAGGAATGGCGTTCTACTTATGTGATATTGAGTCAATTACTTGAATAGTGATTCATAATAATAATATGTTGCAACATTGCTGAGGATGCTTTCTGTATGCGTTGTGATGTTATACGGCTATAATAGATGATTTATTGGAAGTGACTATATATTGTCTTCAGATAGTCTCTGCCATTTGCGTATTTAATTTGCTAACTTTTATATAAACTGATTCGAAATTTTATTGTTGAGTGATGTAGATTAAAAAAGCCCAGGATAACGTACTACAGCTTGTAAAAATATCTCCTGTTTATCATTAAATTGAGGGGTTGTTCAGTGTTGAGAATCTCCGAAATGAATTTCTCATTGTTTTACGGGGAAGCACATAGCTCATGAAATCAACCGTAATCCATTGATAACACGGAATGAAAGTCGAAAATTGAGTCTAATTTATGTTCTGATAAAATAGTAGGTTGAATGTTTTGAGTTTTTTGGTCCAAAAGTTATAGTTTCTAGCCTGTGTTGGATTCTTGTGTGCACACTGATGAAGATGCTCAAAACATAGCCAAAATATCTGTTTGCCACTCTGGTTTAATGACATACTAGAAACCATCCTATTCTACTCAAAATCTTATTTACTGTTTACAAATAAGTTTACTAATCCTCAGGTTAACAGACTAACAAAATAGTTCATTTTATCGTATCTATTAACGAATTGTATTTAAATAAGGTATAAATTAACATAAAAATATGATGCTAGACTGATAAAAACGGTCAATGTCACTTCAGTAAATTTCATTGATGTGATTTGTCAGTGTGGTAGAGAATATCGACAGGTATAAAAGACTTAGATGGTTTGCTGGAGGCATTAATCAACAAAAAGCCATGGTTGACATTAATCAGTAAGTAGTATTTCCACTCTTCGTGGGTATTGAATCCAACAAACTATTATTTAGAAAAACACGGTTTTAAGCTAACTAATTTGATGATATCAATGCGAATTCAATTTACAGAATCTTTGGTTACTTATAGTCACTTCTCAAGTGTATAGTTCAATGTAAATTTGTTTAATGTTTAGATAGATCGTCAATGTAAATAATGAAGATCATTATTCAATGCTATTGGTAAAATCCGAGTGAAGAATCTACTTGGCACTGATATGATGGGATTGAAAAGTCAAAATTAGATTCTTTTACTCACTATGATTTTTTTTGTTCAACATTACTTCCGTTTGTTTAATTAAATATGATGATTACTTAGTGTAGTATTTGTTTTGGTTTCCATTGTGGTATTTTGTTCGTTGTAACATTAATCTATTTGAATGTGGTGTTTTATTCAAGATACGAGATTCTTGTATTAAATTAACATGAAATTGGCTCAGCGTGACACAGCGTGTAATTTGTTATAATTCTGGGTATTTTTCATATATGTGATTTCATCCTAACTAATAATCAAAATGGGTGTACAAAGCAATATATAAAGGAGTGTATTTTTAACTAGGGTCGTCGTCATGTTTGGCAGTTAATAAATATTCATTTTTACCAGTCTTGGTATTCTGACTTCGCATCGTGGGAATTACAATGGTTTCTCGTTTTACAGGTATAAGTAATAAGCAATTCCGGTATTTAAAAAAAATTGGCGATGCAACCGTTACAGATCATTTTATATTGATTCTGATCTTCTTAGTTTTAATAGATCTTATTTACTGAAAATTCATTTCAATAGTTGAAATCATGAGTTAATTGAAGCTAAACCACCATGGAAAACCTGGAAGCACTGGACGGCCGACTCGTCCTAGTATGGGACTCCTCCGAAGTGCGCATCCACGACCCCGCCCCCCCGCGAGATTCGAACCCAGGACCTATCAGTCCCGCGCGCGAACGCTTAACCACTAGTCCCATATTAGGATGAAACGGCCGTCCAGTGCTTCCAGATTTCCCATGGTGGTCTAGCTTTAATTAACTCATGATTTCAACTATTGAAATTACTAAAATCTCCACAAAATCCCTTCTAATGAAAATTCATTGTCAAGGTAGTATTCCATATTCTTGATAGCACTCAAATGAGACACTTGTTCCACTTATTCAGTTAAAAGTTTTA